ATTCATCTGCTCTTCTGGCTTGGCATATTTGTCATACTATCTGGAATGACAAACCAGTATTTGTGCTTGATTGGCAAACTCAAAGTTGGATGCCATGGCTGGAGATGGAGTCGCATACTGTGGCTTGCGCCTGTTTTGTGTCAGTGTCACTTGTACCTTTGGGGATTCCGGTCACAGAATTTCCAGAAAGAGCTGCCCTGCAGCATGAAATGGAATTCCTAAATTCGGAAGAACATTGAAGGCCAAGTGGTTTCTCATTTGAAAGCTCAAACCTTGGTGCAACATGACTCCTGAATTATGCTGACATTGCATTGGTCTGTTACCGTCCTGTCCTATATGTAAAAAAGCTACTTAGAGAGCAGCCCTTGGGCTATTAAAATAGCCATTTCGTAGGGAAGTTTCTACAAATTGGAAGAGAACTCCTGTGAGGAAAGGCTGAGGGACTTGGCAATGTTCAGTCTGGAGAAGAGGAGGCTGGGGGGGGGCACGATTGCTCTCTTGAATTATCTGAAGGGCTGTCACTTAGCGGAGGGCAGGGAGCTGTTCCTTTTAGCAGCAGAGGAGAGGACTTGCAATAATGGGGTTAATTTAAGGGTGGGAAGGTACCGGCTGGATATTAGGAAAAACGTTTCGAGAGTAAGAGTTGTGCAACAGTGGAACCGGCTGCCTAGGGAGGTGGTGAGCTCTCCCTCACCAGCAGTCTTTACACAGCAGCTGGACAAACACTTGTCAGGGATGCTCTCGGCTGATCCTGCATTGGGGGGGGGGGGTTGGACTAGAGGGCCTGTGGGGCCCCTTCCAGCTCTGTGATTCTGTGATTCTATTCTCCAAGTTCCCTCCCAAAAAACCCACTATGCTAATAATTTTTAAGGGAACTTCCTGGCAAGGCTGATGCGTACCAGGATTTGCCAGCATCTTAGAGGAGTGGGAAGGCGGTGAGGCAGGTGCAAGGGGAGGAGCATCTCTAGCCGCTCAGGGGCAGGTCATTTGGTATCTTGAGCATGGAAGGACTGTGGCTTCTGGGTGGCCTTGGATTGTTCCCCCCTTAAGTGTTGAGAAGGTTGCTTGGAGCACCGGGCCTTGCCGTAGGATGAGGAAGCAGCCCTGCCAATCTGGGGACAGTGCGGTTGTCACTTGACTGAAGTAAAGCAGCCATAGTCTTTATTTTAATCAGGAGGTTTTAATTTCGACTTCGATGTGATGATATCTGCATCCCTTTTTGCTGAACAGAGCAGTGCTTTTGAAGAACAAACCACAAGAACAAACTACACGTTCAGCATGTCTCCTCTTGGGAGAGGCATCCCTCTTGTGCCCGAGGGAATGCCTCTTCTAAGATGGCATTTTCAAGAGGTAAGTATGAGGAAACGTTTGGTGAGGGGCACTGTAATGTATTCAGATGCTGCCATGAATGCATTAAGATGAATGTGAATCATCTCATAAGGAAGCAATGTAAAGCTTCGTCTTCGGCAGGGATGCAAGCCGAAGACAAATGCAACCAATCACATTCAAACAGACCGGGAGCGGGACCGTTTGTGATTGGCCTTTATTCGCTCAACCTGATAGGTTGATATGTGTATAGTAGGTGTGGCTACATTAGCCCGGAATGTTTAAATACCGAGCAGCTGCAATGGAATAGCTGTTCGGGCTATCAGAAGTTGTACCGTGTTAGAGAAGTGATCGTCGAGCTAAAATAAACCTGAGTTTTGCTGAAATCACTCTCTGACCATTTTGTTAAGCGTCGGACTTAACAATTGGCGACGAGGATGGGATTTTAGTGCGGGTAGGCAGCCCCGCTGGTCCCAACCCCACGACGGACAACTGCGAGCCGAAGTTCGCCGTGGCAGAGCAGCAACAGGCACCACTAGAGCTGGTGGCAGCGATTGCAGCTATGGCCAATAGCCCGAAGTTCGAAGCTTTCGAACCAGCGACCGAGGACTGGGACGCTTACCTGCTGAGGTTCGGGTTCCACCTCGAGGCGAACGATATCACCACGAAGGAGAAGAAGCGAGCTACTCTCCTGAGCTCTTGTGGTAAGAGCGTCTTTGATATCTTGCAGCTATGGCCAATAGCCCGAAGTTCGAAGCTTTCGAACCAGCGACCGAGGACTGGGACGCTTACCTGCTGAGGTTTGGGTTCCACCTCAAGGCGAACGATATCACCACGGAGGAGAAGAAGCGGGCCACTCTCCTGAGCTCTTGTGGTAAGAGCGTCTTTGATATCACCAGGTCCCTGGTGGCACCAGTGGACATCACGACCGTGCCTTTCAAAGAGCTGACGGACAAACTGAAGGCACACTTCTCGCCGCAGCCGTCCGAGATCG